AAGTGGTCTAATAGGACAATGAATGAGAATTGAATACTTAGGGTGCAAGTTTTAAAATAAAAAATAACTTTTTAGACTCGAGTGTCTAATTTTAGATTGGACTGTTAGATTGTGAAACATTCTCACTCTACTAATCATAATTAACCAATATAACTCCTAGTAATTAGAGACTTAACTCAAAAGGATGATTACTAAGGTTTAATTTAAAAGTAAGGAATCCTAAGTTTTCTAAATAAAAATGAGTTAAAATTAATCAAAATCTTTCATGTCAGAGTAAAAATAAGTTACGAAAGTATGAGATACCTTAGAGGAGTGAAAGAAGTCAAATATGTTTTAAAAATAAAACATGTGCTGCGATATAGTGTAATGCACCACGGCTTGTGCATGTTGTGCCATGGTTGTTTCTCTTTGTGCCGCGCACTGCAGCTCAGGCACCATGTGCTGTGGCATATTGCATGAAATTTCTACTGATTCTACTGTCATTTGATAGCAGAATCAAGGGAACTTCTAACTCACCTTAATTCTCCGTCCGATATCCGAATGACGTGATTTAGGTGTCTACGGAAAGCTCTTTATATGAACTAGCTAATGGCATACTTCCAAAATAAGTTACACTAGGAAGTTGGACACCCAAACACATTTCAACCACTTTTCACAACTTTAACACAAAATAGGTGTCTAAAACTCTCAACATGTGCCAAAAGCTTTTCCTAATACCTGGACCATGTCCAATGGACCTAGGACTATCAGTACAACATGCACAAGCACTAAAACATCAGTATAACAAAAATTCACTCCTCAACTCCATTTTACCAAAAATATAGAGGAGGAAGTAATTTGTTATTGCATCTTGCCCAAATCTTTTCAAAACATGTTTAAATCATTATTTCTATACTTGCACTAGTATTTTGGCCCTATAAACATATATGTGTATATATATATATATATATCAATGTACACAAAGACTAAGGGCCCAAAATAAAACTAAATTTCCAACAACAAAATAGTGCAAGTGTGATGGCATGTATCCTATAATTGGCAAGTCATATACTATTACACAATTAAGTCTAAACTAGAGGTATACAGAAAGAAATGTGCTAATTCCCAGCCTCTTTAGCCTTCTCCCTCTCAGCACTAGAGTTAAAGCCTGTAAATGTTAAATGAAAGGGGTGAGTCTAGCCACTCAGTAACTAAAGTTAAACCTACCTTTTGCAGTTATATACCAATTATAAACCAAATACATGCACAAGAAAATCAAGTATGTAAAACATGCTAGCATATATCATATCTTGTCATTTATCATTAAATAACATCTTTAACTCTCATAACTAGGTGCATTATCACCATATTCTCAGATATGTGACTTGACCCATACTCATGTGACTTGCCATCACTTAACACGTGTCATATGTCATATATTTACTAAGGCAATGATTAACTAACCTTATATCCTCCTTATTTTCTTAGATTGAAGCCATGGGCTGTAACATTGATTAAGACTCCGTCTGTGTGATTGGACTACTCAAACTTATCAATCGTGAGGTGTGACCCGGCCAAAGATTACAAGACTCACTTTTGGACCACGGCTTCTCTTATTCTCAAATCCGTGGGGTGTTTCATACCTAAGCTATTCTTCTCATTGAACCGGTAGAGATAGCTAGGTTCTAGTTCTTTGACAAACTATGGGATAATCCCTTGACAAACTGTGGTATAAGGCTATACCCTTATGCACCGGAGGGTAGTCTAAATATCATATGGATTTTTTTTCTCTACTTTTAATCCCTAAGCGGACTCCCACCATTAATCATGCCATAATCAACACTTACTTATTTTCATATTTTTATTTCATATATTCATCATCACAACAATCATGTTGGGCTCACGACCATGCACTACTCAAGTGTGTATTCTTACCATTTTCTCAACATTATTCTCACCTAAGTCAAAATTCATTTCTCATTAACACATAATTACCTCTACACAACATCACATCTATTTTTCAAGAGCATAAACATGTTCATAGTTCGAAAACCCTCTTGACTTCCCATTTTGCATTTCAAGCCAAAAATATCATTATGCATATTCAAATTCTCATACACTCATTGAAATGAATACATGATTTCATATTGAAAATCAATCCCATGCATGTAAGATTTATAATTCACATTTAAAAATCAATTATAGATCAATTGACATGTAACTACTCAAAGTAGAGTTTTTTCTGGTTACCTCAAACTTTTGAAAGGTCAAAGATTTACCCCTCAATCAATTAACTTTCAAGCTTGAATTTTCAATCCAATAGGTGACTAAGAGCCAATACTACAATCAACCAAGTTGAATTTCATTAAGATAACCAACTCAAGCATTTAAACCCTCAATCTTCACTTCTAAATTGTCTAACATTCACTGTACACGAGTTGGAGCCTATTTATTGGGTTTAATAATTACCTTTAGTCCCCAATAGCATTAATGAGCCATTAAATCGTTATTAATGGCATCAGAAACTTCCAACCACCCATAATAAATGAGATTTTCAGATATTAATGGTGCCCAACAACCTAAGACACCAAAACTCATTATACTTAGGTTTAGATACTCTAATTTACTTCCATTAACTCCATTTGAGTCAACAAATTTGAACCCATAACCTATATAGACTGAAATTCTACTTTCACTATCAAACCTTAACCATAAACTCATAAATGTGGAAGAAATGGGGAGAATAATGAGTGTAATACTTATCTTAGATGTTTGTAACCTTCAATATACTCTCAATGTCATCTACAAGTAAATCTTAGCAGAGCAATGTCACATCTCTTCGTTTCCTCTTTTCTTTCTCTCTATTTTTATCTCATTTCATATTTGATAAATTGTAGAAAATGGTCATGCGCCACTGTAGACGCACAAAGCATCGTGGCTCATGGCACAGAAAGGTCCTCCCTCGTTCAGAAGTGTCAGTGCATCGTGGTGGACGATCTCCACGTTGCGGCGTGTGGCATAGCAACAATAACTCTTTCTTTTCTTCTCCTTTTGATGCTTAGGTGGCCCGTCTTAATACCGGACCCATAATTATGGTTGAATTACCATCAAACACAATTATTAGACCTCTTTGGCCACACACCATTTCAACTTATTTAATTACCATAATTAGGTTTAATTAATTAAAGAATTAAAACTCAAGATATTATAGATCGTGTTCAAATTTATCTCATTAGATAGAATATATTATAAACTTTCTGTGGGCGCCTGAATCAATTCAATTAGACATCAGATGTGGAATTGGCACATGGCAAAAGTTCGTCTTTCGAGTTGTCATGTGATAGCAGAAATTGCTGTCATATATGTTACGGTGTATGGCACGAAGAGAAACAAAACATATCACTTTATGTCACATGTCGTGGCATATGGTAGTACAAACCACATCGCATAGCATGTTTCTCAAAAAAATAATTGTGCCTCTTTGAGTCTTGATATGTATGCTTGCGTTTTCATTAGCCCTCTTATTTGAATATGTTTTAATGAAGTTGGAATCCCACATTTTGAAAACAAATCGAGGGCTATTACTCTGATATGATATTGTGATTGTATTATAATGTGTGTGAAGAGGATGGTAAAGTCTGGATTAAGTAGGGACTTTACAGGATGTCACTATATTTTGCTTTTAAAAAGCTTTTAAATTTTCATTGTTAATATTGTAGCTATTTATTTGTGCTTGCTTATAGAACTTCATTTCACTCCTTTTATACACAATTATTTTTTTAAATTAGTTATTGCTGAAAACATCAATCCATATATTATCTTAGATGCCATTGTTTTTTTATAAAATTATAAAATTAATTTTTAAATATTTACTTTCTTTTAGTATTTGTAGTTTATTTAGTTTGAGGGGATGAGGAAACGAGGATAAAAGTGCTCAAACTTAGGTTTTTTTTTCCTGGTATCATAACAATGAGCTGTTTGCATTTTTTTAATATAAATAAATTGCAATTGTTTATATAATTCTATTTTACATGTTAATTTTATTTCCTAAAATTAATAAAATAGTATTTATTTAAACTTTATTTTTTAAAAATTTTACAAGGGGAAAAAATCTAGTTATACATATGGTGGATTTTTAATGCGTCCCAGATCCCTCTGAATTCTTACTTCAATTGGAATATCTAACAATATCGTGCAATTGGTATGCTATATGCCAACTCATCATCCGCATTTTCTATACAATGTAAGGTCTCATAAATTGTAAGACTCAATAACAAGCAAAAATAGTTTGAAAAAACGTGACATTTATAGATACGTTTGTATCATGCATAAAATACTCTATTGTAAATTGAACCCAAGAGGTAAGAAAAAAAGGCTTAAACACAAGTTATAAAGCGCTTGTACTATATGAATAGAAAATAGATATGATATATTGTGATAACACTTGAAAAATAAATTTTCTTCTTAAGCATAATTTTATTAATCATATTAATTTTTTTTATAAATTTTCTCCTTAAACATCAATGATTTTCAAGCTCTGCAATACCAGTTCCTGCCTGAATTATTCACTCTTGTTCAAAATGATTGTATGGGATTTGAACCCCACCTTGTTATTTAATAGTTAATAGTATTACTACTCTCTTCTTTGCCAAATACTACTGCTAATAGAATTCCAATAATTGAGACTTTTTATTAGTTTTTTAATTATATATTTCAATTCAATTCCAACTATTTAATTCTGAATCTTGAAAACTAGAAAATTTCTTATAATACAATTGAATTGATGATAAACAGCAACGTCTGGGCATGTTTTTTAAATTAAAAATGTAATATTCCAGAAATTTTAGGAAAAAAAATAATAAAATTTTTGATAAAGTATTTTAAATATATTTTGAAGTACGTTTGACAAGAGAGACAGGTGGTCCTGTGAAAATTTGCCTGTAGCGCTAGCCTCTATTTAAGGTTCCTATCTTAAGGAGCATTTTTTTATTTTTGTTACAGCCTACCTTGATGCCCTTAAAGAAAAGCATATCAAATATTTTTGTTTTCCCTCATCCCTCCATTTTTTCTCGCGCAATTGGGGACCAGTGAGAGAGAGAGATCAGTCGAAACCCTTTGTCCTCCTCCATTGCGCTCCTGTCTTCCTCCACCGTTGTGTTCGTCACGGGCGAGTGTGGCTATGCTGAAACCTTCCTCTTCTTCTGTCCATATTGCAGCTTGAAGGAGGGAGGGCGAGAGCTCGACTTCTTCCTTTCTTCCTCCTCCTCCGTCCTTTTCGTTGGCCACCGGCGATTATGGTGCAACTATCGTCGCTTATAGAGACAAAGCTCGTGATTTTTCTTTCTCTTCCCCTGTTTCACACTGTCAGCCGTGGCTAGTGTCGTCTTCGGTTTTGTTCTGCGTTGATGCTGTTTTGTGTTGGAGGCTTCAAATCCTTCCATCCATTACCTCCTTTGCTTCTTGGTGAGTCAAGCTTCATCATCTTTCTCTTGCCTTTTTTGTGTGAGTTTTGCGACTTGGATGATTGCTTAGTTGATGCTTGAGGAAAATGGATGTGTATTTGAATTTTTCTTGGGTTTAAATCATTTCTTGATGGACAGTTGGGTTTGTGTAGCATGATAATTTTAAATATTGATGTTGGGAGATTGTTGAGCAAGAGATTTGAAGCTTTAGAACTTTGATTGAATGGTTTGTTAATTAACGCATACAAGGTGTTTGTTAAAATGTGTAGAAGAAGAATTTGATTGGAATATTAAAGAATCGTTATGTAGTTTGTTTAGTCTTTGTGTTGAGGCTCAGAAAGATATAGGCATTATTTGAATATATATGCATGAATTTATATATTTGAGAGGCTTAGTGAGATGGCTACAAGGAAGGGATGGCCTCCGTCTCAGCCAGTGTTGGCCTGGGTTCATCAGCAGGGAAATGATGTGTGCCCTATACCAGGAACCCCCAAAATTAAGAACTTGAACCAAAATATTAAAGCATCATTTTTAATATTGCTTTGAAACGTCGATGTCATGAACTTACAGGAGAATAGAATTATACGTCCAGAGCCTTTATTCTATACTGCCCTAGCTCCTCTTCAATTTCATGTGTAAAGGTAAAAGGGAGTAGAGTTTAAAGAATCCTTGTATGCGTTTTCTTTTCTCTGTTTGATGGGCTGCATGTTTTCAAATTCAGTCTCTGCATATTGACTTATTCCTATGTATCATTTTTGTTGCTGACTAGGTTATTATTATTTTTTTTTCATAGGGGTGGGGGTGGGAATTTGATGAGCACTAGTGTCATGTTTGCATAGAAAAAAAGTTCTTATGATATCAAGCTTACCACTTCAACATTGTCTTTTCAAACTTATAATTTAAAGCAGACATTTTCTTGACTCGATTACAAGTTTCCAGCCCACATAAATTCTATAAACCTTTACTCTGTGTGTGTGTGTGTGTGTAATATGTGGTGGAAAGCTTTGGTTCCTAAAAAGAATCTTTTATGTTTGATGGATTGTTATTTAGTACACACACACACACACACACACACACACACTATTATTGATTACATAGGAGGTAATTATTTTCTATAATGCAAATCAGAAATAAAATTAGAGAATTTTGAGAATGACATTTGGTTGATAATTCAAGAATGAAGTTTATTTATTCTTATGATAACTTCTGGGACATGTTTATAAAGTTATTGATGAAAGGTTTGAGAAATGAAGTTAATGGAATTGGATAAACATGATGATAACGTTATATAATTATAAAAGAAGTTATTTATTTGATACTTTGAAACTTGGGAAATTTGTGGATGGGATGTTGATAATTATGTGATGCACTACAGCTTTGACACTTGATTTTGTGAATCCAATGCCTGAATGGTTGGATTAATTAATATTTATTTTCATGAAGAATGACTCTTCCCTCATGCAAGATCTCAAATTAGATGGCCTACATGCTTTCAGCTTGATTTGTTGAAAGTGGTACTTGTAGGAAAGTAATTTTTTGAAAGTGGGTCTGCCCAATATGAAGAGAATGATCGACACGAGAAGATATTTGATTTTTAAGGTTTATGCTTGTCAATAATATCTTGGGTATTCCATGCTGTTTTTCCTAAATATGGTTGATTTAGTTTTCTTGTTTGAATATTAGCGTTTGAGTCACTAGAAATCTAAAAGTGTTTCATAGTTTGGTGGAGAAACACTGGATATCATGGTTATATGCCTAAGATCAAACCCAAATTTAAAGCTTTCAAGGTTGTTAATTATTAATTTGGTTGAACTACTCTTTTAGTCCTCAAATTTCACTTGATTATGATGTTGGTCTCATTTAAAGTTTGTAATTTAGTTTCTATAATGTTAGGAAAAAATTGATTTTATTTTAAATAGGGTAGTAATTAAACATGTACTATTAAATTTATCAGAGTAGAGTAGCAGAAGTGTGGAGGAGTGCTATTGAACTTTATGGGTTTAGATAGCAATAGAATGTTTTTCTGTTGTTTTTTTAATTGCTAGGCATGCATAGTTTTATTCTCTTTCATTCTATAGGGAATCCTAATGAAATGCTTAAGAAAAGAACTATATAGAATTAAGTATTATTTATTCTCCTTATTGATTTATAAGTGTTGGATATGTTACTAAAGCTTCACTAAACTCTCAATGAAGAGTTGAGTCATTTATATTTGGTTAGGTATTCATTATCTTAAATTTCTTTGGTTTAATTATGCACTGAATAGATTTTGAGAATATCTAAAGATGTTATAACATGATTACGTTGTTTCCAAGTCCTTGATTTACTCTTTTAACAGAAAGATAGCTATCTTTTGACTCCTAGTATGTCTGAATATTAATTCATATTGTGGTATGGTGTGAAATTTCGGTTTATTGGGAAGTTTATTGTACAAGTATTTTTGAACTGAATGCATTGCTTGTAGTATACATCTATTTTGGGTTGGGTTTGGTAAATTGCATTTTGAAATGGATTATAGAATATTTATACATAAATGATGATTCGCTTTGGCATGAATTATAAACTATATTGACATATATTTATTTCCAAACTATGAATTTCCATTGCTTAAAAGGGCATCATCATACTAAAAGAGATTTTAGCAAGTATTTGGATATAGATTTGAAAGTGGGATTTATAAAGTATTTGATAAATATTTGAAATTGAGATTTTTGCAAGTATTTTTATAGTGATGAGAATCTTTTTATTTCTGAAAGAAAGTTTCTACAAGCATATAAGAGTCTATGAAAGAAAGTTTGAAAAAATAACTTATAGATATTTTTGGATCCTTTTACAACAAAAAGTTTCATATATTGAAGAGTTGATTTTTTGATATACCTAGGAATATTTATAGAGGAATTAAACACAGTGCATTCGTTATTTGTGGCTTTTGAGTTATGCCTATTATTTGTGGCCTTCGAGTTATGCTTATTATTTGTGATCTTCAAGCTACGCCTGAAATTCGCAGCCCATGTGCTACACTTGATATTTGTGGCTTTAAGTTGTGCCGAATTCATTAGTTACCCTCATGGACTATGCGTTCAAACTTGTTTCTCGTGGTCTATGAGTTATGTTGGATTGGTGATTTATCCACATGGGTTGTGTGCCTATGATAGAAATCTCGTACTATGTGAATTCCTCTAGAGGGATTGAGCTCATGAGCCACACAATGAAATTGTGGGAGAAAGTAATTGAGCACAGGTTGAGATTAGAGACAAGTATTTCTGAGAATCAGTTTGGTTTTATGCTAGGTAGATCAACTACAGAGGCGATTTATCTACTAAGAGAATTAATGAAAAAGTATCGTTGTAAAGATAGAGATCTACATATGGTTTTTATTGATTTGGAAAAAGCTTATGACCGTATACCAAGAGAAGTGCTTTTGAAAGCGTTAGAAAAAAAAAAGGAGTACGGATTACTTATATTAAAGCCATACAAGATATATATGAGGGGGTAAAAACTAATATAAGAATGCCTAGTGGTCAAACAAAAGATTTTCCTATAAAGATTGGACTATATCAGGGATAATCTCTGAGTCCTTATTTGTTCAACTTGATCTTAAATGTTTTGAAGGAACATATTCAAGGGGAAATTTCGAAATGTATGTTCTTCGCGGATGATATAGTTCTTATAGCAGAGACAAGAGAAGAGGTTAATTGCAAACTTGAGTTATGGAGGAGGACATTGGAGTCGAAAGGTTTTCGTCTGAGTAGAAGTAAGACAGAATATTTATATTGTAAATATGGTAAAGGACTATTTGACAATAATTTGTAAGTGAAATTAGGAGATCAAATTATACCTCAAGTGGAAAAGTTTAGATATTTGGGAGCCATTATTCAAAATGATGGCGAAATCAATGGAGATATTTTACATAGAATTCAAGCTGGGTGGTTTAATTGGAGAAAAGCTAAAGAAGTTATTTGCGACAGTAAGGTGTCTAATAAATTTAAAGGAAAGTTTTATCGCACTGCTATCAGACCGGCAATGTTATATATTAGTGAATGCTGGGCTCTAACGGGACAACAAGAGCATAAAGTTGGAATAGTAGAGATGAGAATGTTACGATGGATGTGCGGACATACACGTAAAGATAAATTTTGAAATGAGCACGTACGCGAAAAAGTGAGGGTGGCACCTATTAAGGAAAAAATGGTAGAAAATCGGTTGAGATGGTTTGGGCATGTACAAAGAAGACCAAGGGAGGCACCAGTGAGAAGAGTGGAACATATAACTTTGAGTCCGATTAAGAGAGCTAAAGAAAGGCCTAAGAAAACACTCTTGGAAGTTATTGAATGCGATTTCTTAATTAATAATATTCCTAAAAGCTTAATAAATGATAGAGTACAATGACATCTTGCAATCCAAGTAACCGACCCCACCTTGTGGGATAAAGGCTTGTTGTTATTGTTGTTGTTTTTTTTTTCTTCTCTAAATTTTCGTTTTTGGAAAGAATTCTTATTTTGAATTTTTGGATAAGTTGATGCTAGGATTACTATTACGAAGTTTATTTTGTTGCTATAATGAGTTTGAAAGTATGTTTCATGCACTTGTTGATAATAGTATTTATCTCATTTTATATTGTGAGTATTGTGTCAGTAAACATTTATCCATGTCCATGTTTATATATTTGAAGTATTATCTTCTGGTCTTGAGGAAATAACATGATTTGGAATATATATGTATGTGCATGTTGATTTATCATGTACTTATTGAATTGTTTGTATTTCATGCTGGTCACATTTGATGTTTTGGGGCGTGACCAAAAAATTCAATGGCTAATCTAATATGGAAAAATTAAACATAAAACAAATCAATTGCTAAATTTGAGCCAAAAAAATAGATAGCTCAATAATTAGGGAAAATATTAATTGAGGGCCTGTGGAGGTATTTTATATCGAAGAAGAATCTTAAGATTTTGATCTTTCACTATGCTCTTAGTTCTTAGTTGAAAATAAGTTTTTATGAAAAATGACTTAATTGCCTCTCTTAGTGAAAGAGAAACAACTAAATAGGAATTGGTTGTTGTCAAAACCTGAATGGCTTGTTGTTTATATAGGGTGAACACTTGTTTATTGAACATGAGTTGTCAATTTTTCAATCTTGTTAAAGTTTAAATATGTTGTCATCAATCACGAATTGGTTATTGTTTAGACTCGAATGACTTGTTGTTTATGCAAAGTGAACACTGGTTTTATTAAATTTGTACTGTTAGTTTTTCAATTTTGTTAAATTTTGAATGTATTGTTAATCATGAATTGATTGCTGTTGAAACCTGAACGACTTGTTACTTATGCAAGGTAAACATTTGTTTCATTAAATTTGTTTTGTCTGTTTTTCAATTTTGCTAAATTCCAAATGTGATGTTATTAATCATGAATTGATTGTTGTCAAAACTTGAATAACTTGTTAGTTTATACAAGGTAAACACTTATTTTGATCATTTTCTATAAAAATTTATTTTCAGTTAAGAACGAATGGAGTGCATCAAAAAATCAGAATATTAGAAGGTCCTTTTTGTGGTATTTTCCCAAATAACTATCACTCTGTTCGTCTTCACACACAGAGACTCCCAAATCACTAGGCCTTAATTGCGGGATGGCATCAGCATCTTCCTCCTCCTCGACATCCTCACTACTCCCCCCAAGTCCTTTCATAAGCATATAGAAGTAGAGGTAACGCTTGTTTCTTATTCAAAAAGCAGCAAGTTTGATTGTTCGAATTCATGGAGTCTTACTATGGAGTTCAGAAGTCGTGTGGGACTGTCAGTATTAGCAATCTTGGGCTTCGACTTTTATGGCGCACTCTCCATATATTTGTCAGCATTTGGTATTCCATATTAGCTCTGGGTAATACATGTGAAAGCTTCCTGATCTCTTGGGGAGTATTGAAAAGCTACGAATTTTGTAATTTGGGGAAGCTTCAGTACATTGCAATTGTGATAGAAAGTGACGATGCTCATCAGACTTCAAAAGTTGTTGAGCTTTTGCAGTGGTTGGATTCTATTGGTGTGAAGAACGTATGCCTCTATGACAGGATTGGAGTGCTCAAGAAATCTAAGACAACGATTTTGCAGAAATTGAAGATTGAGGAAGCTAATGAAGCTGACGCACTCCATGGTCCAAATCATATGGCCATAGAATTTGTTTCGTATGCAGATGGGAAGGAAGGGATGACAAAAGCAGCCAACTGGATTTTTGCTCAAAATTTGAAACGACATAATTTTGATGGAGCACTTGATGGTCAAAACTTGACAGAACCTCAATTGGATAAGGCTTTGGATATTGTTGGTTATAGAGGCCATGAACCTAACCTTTTGTTGGTTTATGGACCTGTGAGGTGCCACCTTGGTTTTCCTGCATGGAGAATGAAGTACACGGAGATTGTGCACATGGGATCATTGAACTCCATGAGATACGGTTCCTTAGTGAAGGCCATTTCTGGGTTCACAAGGGTGCATCAAAACTACGGCAAATGAGAAGTATTTTGCTGGTTGTTACTTAGCATAGGTATTTACAATCGTGAGGAAGACCCCTTCCTTCGGTAAATTTTTAAGATGTAACACGATGAGAAATAGAATTGCCTTGTCATATTTCTTATTTAATTCTCAAGTTTGCTGATACTATGGCTTGACTTGTACTTTGCTCTCTCAATTTATGGAATCATAAATTGTTTGCTCAGAGAAAAAAGTCTACCACTCCTTGCGTTTGCCAATGCTTATATGAATCATTATTATAAATTTATTCATTGGCCAAAAAGAAACAGGAATGTTTGCGTAAATAATTGGATTCCATTTAGATTTCAGTATTGAAAATAAAATGGTGCAAGTGGGGAATGCTTCTTGCCCATGATGATTAATAGATTATTATATACATTTGCCAAAGAAGAAACGGGAATATTTGCATCAATAATTGGATTCCATTTTCCGAGTATTGAAATAAAAAATAATAATAAGGAAAGTGCACGTGGAGATATATGCTTTCTTGAGCATGCTGATCAACAATTGCTGTATGATTACAATAAACTTGATTGATAAACATCAGAATGTCATCATTAAAAACTAGTAAGCCATTATGAAGACTGGAGCCAGAGGCTACATTTCCTAACAGGATAAGACAAAGTGGTTCAAGGCTAAATAACTCAGGCCAAAACGCCTCCTCAAACAGTTTTCAAGGCAAGTTTTAATACCCTTTGGCATTACATGACACTAGAAAGGATTTTCATAATGGTAAGCATAGAATCACTCAATTCTTCTGCATAAAAAGCACACTATTCAATATGTCGTGCACACACATCCTTTCTTAAAACCTCAGGAGTATTTGGGCCCACTGTTCACCGATAGTGGCAGTAGACAGGGGTATACATGCAGCTTTCAGCATACTTCACAAGATTTTCAGGGCGAGGGAGAGGTGTAGCCAACCCTACAATCATAGTTCAATAATTGCATGAGTTCAGGAAGGGAATGCATGCATTCCTGAGACTCAGGTTAGTAGTATGAAATGGGTTGAAAAAAGTTTAAGCGAATGAGAAGCGTCCACACCTAGTTCATATGCCTTGGCAGCAACATTAGCAGCTATATTAGCTGAGATTTTTCTGATGTCAGAGAATGGTGGGTATGTCCATCCCTTTTTGTTGTTCTCCTCTATCACTTGTTTAGCCCAGGCTTCCGCTGTGCATGACATAGTAATGACGTTAACTTGAGCATTTCTTTGTTATTTTAACAACCACAAGTAATTACTACGGATTATTGGATTTCTACTTTTTATAAAAGACATTTACAGTGGAAGAAATGAAGAACAGAATATAATGTATGTATAATGCTACATTTGTCATCACCCACTTACTGGCTGCTAGAAGCATATCACCATGTACACGAATTGCTCCCGAGATTACTGAACCCAGAATGAGGCCTGGGAAAGTGTAAGCTTTGTTTGCCTGGATTGCCAAGGAAGGCAAGTACATGATTCTTAGTCGTTGAACCGTTTAAAGAAGAATCACATAAAATAAGGTCCAAGAGATTGTAAAACCTGGCCAGAAGCATAGATTTTGCCCTTTTATTCAACAGGATCAAGTGGACTCCAATTGGCAAAACGAAGGTGAGAGAGATTTACTTGAAAACAGAGCTGAGCATTTCATCATCAGAATTAATGTCTGATAAGTTCTCCGTGCTGAACTGGTCATATAATTTTTCATTTAAAAATCTCTCGCTGTCCATTTTCCTCAACAGACAATAATTGAAGGAGGGGATCCAAGGTTAGTTCCATGCAACCAGAGCAAAACAAGAATTGAGAAAATCTTAAATTTCATCTGAAGAAACTTGAAACAATCATCTGGAATTGCAACTGACACATACCAATTGATCAGCTTACTATTAACATAGGTTTCTTTGAATCAATATGGATACTCTTTGGAATATATTACAATTAAGATATAAAAATACATGCTTTGCAGTATTCACAAACAGAAAATGTAAGAGCACAAACAGTGATAAGTAAAAATATGAAAATTAAGCTGTATAAGAGAACTAGAATGAAGACAATAAAGTAACATGCGGAGCATGGAACAATAAGCAAAGATGACATCAGAAAACAGAATCTTTGACTTAATACACAAAATGGGAATAAAAAGCACAAAATAACATTTCTACTTTTAACAATATTTGAGAAAACATACATGAGGAATTTGAGATTTAATTGTCAAATTTTTCATGTATTGACAGGAGGAAGTGGAACAGGAGAAATTCATTAAAAAAACGCACGTCAGATATAAGTGTCATGGTTCCTATCTCCAAAATATTCAAGGAAAAGAAGGTGGGAGAGGAGATTTACTTAAGAACAGGGCTGAGCATCTCCTCATCAAAATCATTTTTTGACCGTTTCTCTTTGGTAGAATGTACATGTAACTCTTTCCTTGAAATTCTTCTGTTCTGCATTTTCTTCCGACAATTTAACAAGCATTAACTTAGTTTGGATATTGAAGGTCAGTTTCATGTAGCAAACAGCAATGTTAAATAATATCCATTGACAATAATCAAGGTTTGGCCTATAGCCTTATGACAAATTATCTCCCACTTTGAAAGCCTTTACAGCTAGTATCTTAGCTGAAAGTATAGCAAGGGATGTTAATGAAGCAATGAAGAGTCTTGTATAGAAGACTACAATCAATTAGGAAGTGGGGGCAATGAATAAAAATGGAACTTGCAAAAGCAAATTCACATCCACAGCGGGAGTAAATTGTTGTTTACTAGTAAGTATAACCCTATGAACAAATATAATGATAGGATATATCTTATGAATTCTGTTAGTCAACACATGGTTTCTAAATAAGTTGGCTTTTTTATGGGCTTTTACTAAATTTCCATTCTGTTAAGTAATAGGCACGTGATCGTGAGTGGTTATATATCAGTATGCATGGCACTATACTGGATATCGATTAAGTGAAATTCTATTCTAGATCCTTCTTTTCTCTTCTATGAATTTCTTTCTTCTCTCAATCTCTCTCCTCGCCTTTTCTGTGTTCTGTTGCGTCTATTTTTTCTTTTCAGGGCTATCATTGATATTAGAGCAGGACGCTCCTATGGTTGATGGTACTTGCTCGATTGCTATTGCTAAGGAAGTTGAGGACAAGTTATGACTGGACATAGATACTTGTTTCACTTGTCTTGAGGCTCAACTGTAGGGTACTCATGAGTTGCGCAATTAGATCCTTGGTTTGTCGGATATGGTACGTCGGCTCTCTATTCAGGTGGGTGATATACAGGTTCTGCGTGATTGGGGACAGTTAGATGGTGATTATCACATTCCAACTTTATACACAAAGCTTGATTTTCCTTCTTTTTCTACTACTAAAGGTGAGACATGGTTGGTCAAGTGGGAACATTTATTTGCTTTGGATGGGATGCTTAAGAATCGGTGAACCATTCTAGTAAGCATCGCTTTGTGCGTATAAATGGTTTCAACATTTTGAGAAGGGTTTGAATGGTGTTGTGCCTTGGCACACTTTTGCTGAAGCTGTCCGTATTCGATACGGACCCCTGAATGAAGATCCGATGGAAGACTTGGTGCATTTGTGGCAGATGGGTCGAGTTTTTGATTATTAATGGGATTTTGAATATCTCATCTGCAAACTCAATCTTCTTGAAAATAGGAAGATTAGTTACTTTATTGGTAGTCTCAATCTAGAGCTCGCGACGGGGGTTAAGCTATTACACCCTTAGTCTTTGTTAGAAGCATTCAAGCTTGCTTGATTGCAGGAATCTCATCTGGATGCACTATCCCAATTTAATATGGCTACTATATCAGGTAAGCTTTCACTAGTTCATACTCTACCAAAGGTTTATTACCTACTCCTAGCTTACCGCCAAATGCTTTAACCTATCCTAGCAAGGATAAGCCGTTATTGACCGATAGCAGGAAGGGAGTGTCATCTTCTACGGTGGGGTCGAGTTTGACTAAAGGAGGAACAAGGTGCTCAAATTATTCTTTCAAGTAGAGACTATCTCGAAGTGAGTTGAAGGAGTGCCATGCTAAGCCATAACTATGTGCAAAAATAAAAGACTCAAATCTTCTTGATGGAACTCACTAAGAATGAATCAAATGGGTCATCTCCTAATATTCAACTTGTGGACAGTGATATTGATACTATAGGAATTGAGTCTTTATCGGACACCCTTATTATCTCTCTCAATGCCATGTACGAAACTTCTAACTATAAAATAATGCGAGTTATTGGTCTAACATCCTAAGTTTCAAACCTTAAAATTTAAAGTGCTTAGAAGGGTAAATTGGTAAATTTATGTGAATTTTAAATAAATGATGTTTTGGAAGACTAATGTGATTGCTGGATCATTAGACAAACTTAGATGAGGGTTAGGTCAGAGTTAGAGCGGACCAAGGCACGGAGTGATGCCTAAATTTGCTTTGAGCTTCCTTGTGCCATTCGCCATGATGGACACACCATGCGCTTTAATTGATGTGCTAAAAATTTGCACTTAGCAGTTTGCACACAAGCAGAAATCAGAGAGAGAAAATAAAAGAATCATGAGAGGGACAATGGAGGAAGCATTTTGCTTTGCTAGGGCTTCATCTTAGGAGCATTTCAAGAGCATTTTGAGTAAGAATCACCATTTGGGTAGCTTGCTATTCCTCTCCTTCCTTTTTTATGTGAATTTTTGTATGATTGGGTTAATATGGGATTTGATTTTCATTTTCCTTGAGTTATAACTAAACCTATTGATTTAGTTAAGGTCTTGGGGAGTTAAATCAAGCCTTAAAACTTAGGTTTATGGATTGTATAGTGATTTGAAGTTTTTGGGTAGGGTTTGGACTAACCCTAAGTGAAAAGTGGGAGTTGGGGAGCAATGGGGATAATGAAGTGGTGTTATTAAAGTGTTTAGGTACTAAATGAAATTAATGGAGTGTGTTAAGAGAATTGGTAAGGTTAAATTAAGGCTTTGAGTATAATGGGTACTCAAAATTATGTTAAAAAGGGGTTAATCAGTGTGTGGATTAATGATTAAATATTTAATCTTGTATATTAAATATTAATTGAGCATTGTTATGCTAGTAGACATGTGAGGGGCCATTGTTTGACCATGGTAACCCATTTAGTGATAAAAGGGTTAAGGTAACCAAATTGTCTAAACTCCCTATTTGCATGTTTGGATGGTTGTGGTTAATGTTAAGCTAATGTTCTTGTTTTGTACTAGTTTAGTATTAATATGAAATGATTATGATTTAGAAATTTCATGTGAAGTGGAATGG